ATCAATTTCGAGTCATCTCGATGCACTTCTTTCATACAGTTTAATCAAATTAATTCTTTGATTCGGTCTTCAAACTCGAGTTTTATAACTTATGCAATATCAATGTTGAGTGTCATTTCAACACACAAAAATTATCCCCTAGACAATAGCGTTTCTTTACTCCACACATGACCAGCAAGACACATTTAGATTACTAAAAAAGAGGAAACCCAAGTGACTGACACTACTTTTAGTTTAAAAAAGGCTGACAGCATCTATCATAACATCTGCTTGTACCTGTCGAGATACCGTTTCTGTTTCTAGGGCCAAAAAAATAATAAAGAAGGGCAAAACCACTGCTTATATAACTTATAAAGATGGTTGCAGTGCCGTATAAGAACACTGCTCATTTTGGCATTGACAGTCATTATGATAACACTATAGGAACATTGCTGATTTTGGTAAAAAAACAGAATGATTAACATTGGTTACTGGAGGAAATGTTACAATAAAATGGAGAAATAAACTACAGTTTTTACATGTCAAGAAAGTTGGTCCCATCGGTGGTCAAATGTTATGTACAGGGAGTTGGTGATGATGGTAGTCGAATTTTCACAAATGAAACATTATCTGTGGTCTAATTTTAAAAGTGTCTTAACACAATAAAAGATAAAGACTTACCTGTTCAGGAATGTTTCTGTAAAAGATAAAAGAAATTTTGGTGGTATCAAATCATCAGTTGTATCCAATCGTGGATGTATCTCATTTATACCCAATGGATGTATCTCAGTTGTACCCAATGGATGTATCTCAGTTGTACCCAATGGATCTATCTCTGTTGTAGACAGTCATGGATGTTGTATCAAAGTGATAGACAATCATGGATGTAGTACCGGTATCTCAGTGGCACCCAAACATGGATGTATCTCAGTTCTGATGATCAAATCAAAATTGAGATTATTATGAAAACTATTTCACTATATATTATAATAGTAAAGGTTACAGTATATTTTGATGACATTGTCTTTATCTTAATTTCTCAATCTTTCAAACCTAAATATCATTTGTAAGCCATAAAAAAAAAACTCACTAGCTAAATCTCGTGTTAAATAAAACAAAATAAAGACTGGAAATAAATCTACTTAAAAGATGTTCAGTACCTGGGTCAAGTGAACCATGAAGGCAAGAGAAATTGTTTTTTAATCAGATCACATCTTGGAGGAAATCATCAAATGTGTATATAGAAACAACCTGTAAATCAGAAATTATACACTTGTTTGTCTAGTTTAATTACGTTCTGTAGTTTTGAAAGGGGGAAGATTTCTCTATAGGCTAAGTAGACGTAAGCCCGGGGACCTTAATAATCTATTGAGCAACCAAATTTTAGAAGCCAAATTTGATAGATTCCAGGGCTTATTAAACAAAACAAAAAAAAAAAATTTTAAATTATACAAATTAAAATAAAATATTTTACAACAATTAATAATAAAGGATTTATTTTAAATTCCTCTTGCTGTCCTCTCGGATACTTCATTGAAGCTTAATGTTTAATTTAATTTTATATTTTTTTACTTTCATTTGTTCTCTAAAGAAGGCTTCTAGCCGACAAGTTTTGTTGCTTCCTTGTTTCAGACTTTCTGTCGCTAATTAAATATTTACATTGTGAGGTTAATTAAGAAGACATTTTTACCTATATTTCAAATTTTTTTAAAAGTTTCTTTATCTTAAATAAATCAAGTCAGATATGTGAGATAGCAAGGTATAAAACTCGTTCAACTAAATCAATTTGCCATTTTAAAAAATGGTCAATGTTTCAGACCTGTTTACCCTCAAACTCTTAAAATCGTACAATATCAACACAAAATCGTTCAATACATTATCTTAATAGTAAAAAATAAACATACAGTATATATTGTGTATACACCACATTGTACGCCAAAATCGTGAGAGTAAACAGGTCTGATGTTTCTAACACAGAGCAATGTCTTGAAATTTTGCCAAGACTACTGTATTACTCAAAGCCCCCAAAACAATATTTCCTGTTACTACTGTATCTCTCAATATATCCATATACCCCAAAAAATATTTCACACATAACTAATAACATGTTTTTGTAGGGCCTAAATATTTATGATGTTTGATTCAAAACTTTTAGCAATTTATATTTTAAGGATTTATGTATTATCATTCACATGCTTATACATTTGTAATTCTTTAGTGTTAGGAATTTTATATGTTAGTAAGGCTATCAAAATAAAAGCTTTTCAACAGCCCTTGGCCTTGGTATCGAATGAAAGATAATTGAATGAGCTATATGTTTGTTAATTCTTTAGTTTAACTAAAATAAACTACCACAAAAAACATCAAAATAGCATAGTCAAAATGGAAGTGGAAACGCATCATCCCAATTCGGACCTGGGTCCCATTAGACTAAATGCCGTTTGTGGTAGTTTATTTTAATTAAACTGAGGAATTAAGTTTTTAAACATACAGCCCATTAAATTATCTTTCATTCAATACCAAATTTTGTCATACATACCCTACAATAATATTGTAAAGACTTTTAAAATAAACCCAACCTCTCATTTCTGGTACCGGGTCCGAATAGCCGCATCCTTATAGTTATAGGTATAATAATAATAAGTTATAGAGAAATGTTTATCCACATGTAAAAATTGGCCATAATGTACATGTAGCCCCTCAATAGCTTTACATTTGTCAATGTGGCCCTCTGCACAAAAAAATTTGCCCACCCTTGGCCTTCTACATTCATACTTTTCATAGCATTGTTGAGTTCATGTTTCTCACACTCATTGGCATTGGCCATGCCATAATATTGAAATTGAATTATGAATCATTGTTTATTGTTTGTAGAAAACTAAATGAAAAGCTCAATTTAATTAATCCTTATTCCTTATGCACTACAAAGTACAGAACACCCAACTAATTTTTGCTCTGTATCTAAGATATCTTAAAACTACTTACATACTTATCTTTAAAGATTAAATGTCAAACAAAATAATACCCAAAACAATTTTGTCAAAGTTATTCAAAGCGGCAAAGAAATCAGTATCCTAAGAAGCTTGTTTTTATTATTTAGTTTTTAACTTCTTGTTCAAAAGAGTTATTCGACTTAATTAGAGGCTACTCAAAAAATTATTTTATCTATTAAGGTGACAGCAGTTAGCTCCCATATTTTCATAAACTATAATAAAGAACAGCAACCAAGATAATACAATCGTAAACCAAGGTAACAAGAGTTAGCTTTCTTGATTATTGTAAATAAAATTAATTAATGGGACGTTATTGCTACCGACTTTAAAAATATTGTTATTTTAATGGTTGCTTCCCTTTGACCATAAAAAAAATATATATATATATATCTAACAAAAGTGAGAAAAAAGAAATTCCCGCACCACTTTAGAAATGTATTACATTAAGTCCGTTAACTATGAATTCTTTGATTTAATTTTATTTTTGCAACTTTTATCTTTTCTGTAAATAATTTTCATTTTTAGTACTTTTCAAACTATTTTATAATTGTAATTGTAATGACTTTAATGCTAAAAAAAGTGATTATTTTTTTAATATTCTGTACTTAGAGGTATATTTTTTTTTTCATTTGATTTCAATACATGTTTTATTTTTAAGTTAATAATTTTTCCCTATGGTTGTTGAAATTATTTTAATAAATTAAAAACCTTCAAGTTAGTTTGTAGCTTCCTAGTTAGGTCAGTTACTTTGTAATATTTAGCATTAATAACAATTACTAGCCATGGATTTGTGAGCACATTGCAAACTGAACCTTGTGGGCTCTTATTAAATAAAGCTCTCATAGAGTTTAAATTTAACTTGTTTCTCTAACATTCCAATAATGATAAAATTGATAATTATAGACTTGTACTTATGTGAGGCTCCACTTGGTTCTTTCATCCACTAAGGCTGGGATTTCTTTTTCCCTAATGGATCTTTTTTATAAAATAGGGAAATTCTTATCTAATTATTTCAGTATTCTTAACAGTCTTGGTGAATCTTTCATACTGTGAACACAAACTTTTCATAGCTACAAACCAATTTTGGTTAAAATAAATTTCATGCAATGGTAAGATCAGTATATTGTGCTCTTTGAAAATTGTTTTTCAATAGTCTTAAATAGCAATTTTTTTTAAGAAAGAATTTTGTTGTAAGTATTTAATGGCATTAATGAGACATCCCCTCAACCCACTTTTTTTTTTTAATTCACCAAAACAAATCATGTGCTGACTGGTTTTGGTAATTAATTTATTCAGTCAAATCCACCTCTTACCCAAAGACTGAAAAATATTGTTAGTTTTGTTAGGACATTCTAAATTAGTGTTGTAATAAACATGAAATCCTTATTATGCTTTACATGGCACTGTGACGTATCACTAGTTTGTTAGTTACTTGTCTAGTGATATGTCACTTGTGACTTGACCGTTAGTCACTTGTCTAGTGATAGAGAGTAAGTCGCTTTTCTAGTCATGTGCCATTAGTGAATTGTTTGTTAGCCACTTGTCTGGTGATATTTGAAATGAATGTACAAGTTGAATCTTTGTCTAGTGTCATTATTAAAAGTGTTAAATTTAATATTTAAATTAATTAAGCTTTGGATTGTGACAGCATCAACATGTCAAATGGAAATGTGTTAATATGTACTTAACAGGGTTAACTAGATTCATTCAGCTCATCAGTCTATTTGCACTAATTAGCAGGTCAATGTAATTCCTTTTATCATTTAGTCTTCATGAAAAGACAGGTCAGGGTAATTAAAATTTCTATATTTTTTAGTTTTTGTTAATGATCTGGAGGAGCACAGTCTTATGGCAAAAACATATTTCTTTGAATTACAAATTAAAAATATTGTTAGAGGTTTAACACCAGTTGGGTTAAAGTTTGAGTGATTGAAACAATGAACAGGTTGATGAACGAGTTTTAACATTTCAGTTGTGTGTTAGTAGAACTTTATTTATTTAAGAATTTGGTAAAACTTGTTTACTTGGGTTGAGACTCATTGGCAGCCAAGGTAGGATTTTGTAAATTCAGATGGCAGCCAAAATATGTTGTAGATTTAGATGTCATCCAAGATGCTATGGAGTAAATTCAGATGTCAGTCAAAATGACATGGTGACCATTCAGAGTCAGTAAAGATTGTATGTTGTACATCCAGATGTCAGCCCAGAGGGGATGTTGTAAATTCAGCTGTCAGCCAAGATGATGTGGTGTACATACATATGTCAGCCAAGATGATGTGTACATTCAGCTGTCAGCCAAGATGGTATGTTGTACATTCAGATGTCAGCCAAGATGATATGGTGTCCATTCAGCTTTCAGCCAAAATGATATGGTGTACATTCAGCTGTCAGCCAAGATGGTATGTTGTACATTCAGATGCAGCCAAGATGATATGTTGTACATATAGCTGTCAGCCAAGATTATAGGGTGTACATTCAGCTGTCAGCCAAGATGGTATGTTGTACATTCAGATGTTAGCCAAGATGATATGGTGTACATTCAGCTGTCAGCCAAGATGGTATGTTGTACATTCAGATGCCAGCCAAGATGATATGTTGTACATTTAGCTTTCAGCTAAGATGATAGGGTGTACATTCAGCTATCAGCCAAGATGGTTTGGTGGATATTCAGCCGTCAGCCAAGATGATATGGTGTACATTCAGCTGTCAGCCAAGATGGTATGTTGTACATTCAGATGCCAGCCAAGATGATATGTTGTACATTTAGCTGTCAGCCAAGATGATAAGGTGTACATTCAGCTGTCAGCCAAGAAAGTATGATATGCATCTACTGAAATGTCTTGGATTCCACTGTCATGACACTTGTCACTTGTGTAGACTGTATTAACCTGGAAGTAAAAAACAAAGTATTGCAATCAAATAATTGTACTTGTACTTGATGTGGTTCAGATAATTCACTTTTGCTACAAAACTCATTGAAGATGAAAATATTTGTTGGTTATTGTAACGTGTGAAACGTAGATGACATTGTCAATATCAAAGATATGCAACTGAAAAAAAAAACACTAAGAAAATTAAAATGAGTAAAACTGAAGAAAAAAAAGAGACTCCTATACTATGATCTGACTCATGAGAAAATGTGGTTTTATTTTGGAATTATAAAGCACAGGGTTGGGGAAGAAAATATAAAGCATATAATGTAAATTTTAATACATGTTGTAAAATTGAATAAATGCTAATAAAATATCAGTTCTGTTGCTATAATTGGTAACAAATTTTTTCCTATCTTGTAAAGCTGTGATGTTACGTTTTTGTCGACTTTTAAGGATTAATGCCTAAAATAATAAATCAATTTTAACTAATACATTTAAACAATCAAACAAATTAAACAATTACCATTAAAATGATATAAAATGCTTGTAGGTAACTACAACAATTACCATTAAAATGATATAAAATGCTTGTAGGTAACTACAACAATTACCATTAAAATGATATAAAATGCTTGTAGGTAACTACAACAATTACCATTAAAATGATATAAAATGCTTGTAGGTAACTACAACAATTACCATTAAAATGATATAAAATGCTTGTAGGTAACTACAACAATTACCATTAAAATGATATAAAATGCTTGTAGGTAACTACAACAATTACCATTAAAATGATATAAAATGCTTGTAGGTAACTACAACAATTACCATTAAAATGATATAAAATGCTTGTAGGTAACTACAACAATTACCATTAAAATGATATAAAATGCTTGTAGGTAACTACAACAATTACACCCATGAGACTGTTTGAATAATAAATAGTATTCAAGGTCATAAAAACGTGAAAAATCTACCGTCTTTTAAGAGTTTAAGATATTTTTGGGTCTTCCTGCACCCTCTGGTTAAGAGCCCCTGTTTTAGTGCATTAAGAAGATAACCGCTATCATAGTAAATGTAATTTTCCACGGATTGCACATTTAAAAATAAGAAATTCAGCGCATTAACAAAGAGTTATTTAAAACTGAAACCTTAACAATAACCCTAATAAAAGCTGTCCCATGACTTTTGGAGACCTCTACCACTTTTTGGCTTTGATGACTACCTGTGCTTTGATGACTACTTCTACTTTTATGACTACATCTATTTTGATGCCAAAAGAAGTGTGAGGCCCACTAGATGCATGGTGCCAATAGAAGTGTGAGACCCTTTATATGCATGGTGCCAGTGGAAGTATGAGGCCCCCTATATGCATGGTGCCAATAGAAGTATGAGGCCCCCTAGATGCATGGTGCCAATAGAAGTGTGAGGCCCCCTAGATGCATGGTGCCAATAGAAGTGTGAGGCCCTGGCAAAACCTGGTGTGCCCATGCCTTAAGAAATTCAATGCCTAAAAATACATATTTCAAAAATACCGGGTATATATTTATAGAACTTAAAATCTTTTACAATAAACATCATTTTTAGCACAATTCTTTATTTTGCATATTCTGAACACTAGACTCTATCAAGGAACGTTTGGGAACTTATTTGCATCTTGGGGATCTAAATTAATTTTGAATAAATTTGACCCAATTTTCCTTGAGGCTGCCTTTGTGAGAATCCCTGTGCACAAATATTTTCACATTTGGTCATATTTTTGTGGCCAGCATTTAATTATTGTCTTAGCATCAAATTTAAATAGGTACGCCTTGCCTTACTTAAGACAGCATTGCTTCCCACATTCAAGACTTAAATAACCTAAACTAAAGTTTAAATTTGAAAACAATAATTAAAGGCGACATGCATCAAAATTGTCAAAGTCAGTTACACAATATTTTATACAGTCTATAACTTTTTGCAGGAATATTATGTTTAAACTCTAAAACAATATTATGTGCATGGTACAGGAAACCTTGCACAATTAACCAGAAACCGGGCTGCTTATTTTTTAGTGCACATGTGCACAACTTAGAGGTGTCAATTATAGATGTACACAACTTACAGGCGTCAATTACATATGTACACAACTTAGAGGTGCCAATTACAGATTTACACAACTTAGAGGTGACAATACAGATGTGCACACCTTAGGTGTCATTTACAGATGTGCACAACTTAGAGGTGTCAATAACAGATGTGCACAACTTAGAAGCTTTTCCAGTGAGTAGTGGAGTTAAGCAAGGTTGCGTGCTGGCTCCTACTTTATTTGCAATCTTTTTCTCCATCCTACTCCAGTATGCCTTTCAGAACAACAGCGAAGGGATATACATGCACACTAGAGATGACGCCAAATTATTCAACATTGCCATCCTTAGAGCTAAGAATAAAACAAGAAAGGTCTTGCTGCAAGAGTTCTTGTTTGCGGACGATGCCGCTTTGGTATCTCACACAGCTGACGGCCTGCAGAGCCTCGTATCCAGCATATCCGCTGCCTGCAAAGAGTTTGGTCTGACAATTAGCCTAAAGAAAACTAACATTATGGCACAGGGCGCTGACTCCCTCCCGACTATCGTCATCCACGACTACGACTTGGATACTGTTGACAGATTCACATATCTGGGATCCAACATATCGAGCACCCTCTCAATGGAGGATGAGATAAGTGGGAGGATAGGGAAGGCCGCAACTGTTATGGCCAGACTGAAGAAAAGAGTCTGGTCAAACGCCAAACTAACAACAAGAACTAAGCTGCAGGTGTACCAGGCCTGCGTACTGAGCACACTTCTGTATGGATGCGTAGGCTCAATGGCTTCCACCTCAGATGCCTGCGCCACATCCTTGACATTAAATGGCAAGACAAAGTCCCCAACACGGATGTCCTGTCCCAAACAAACATGTGTAGCGTCCCAGCCATGTTAATCCAAAGACGCCTCCGCTGGCTTGGACACGTCAAGCGAATGCAATCTGGTCGCATACCAAAGGACGTGCTATACAGCGAGCTGGCGACAGGGAAAAGGTCAGTTGGACGGCCTCGTCTGAGATACTTAGACATATGCAAAAGAGACATGAAGTCGGCCAACATCGACATCTCAAACTGGGAGGAGCTGGCAGAGGATCGATCCTCATGGCGGGGCATCGTGAAGGCAGGATCACTACATGCTGAGGATCAAAACAGGGCGGAAACAGCTGCAAAAAGAGCGAGGAGGAAGGCCGGTAAATACTGCTCCACCGCATTCGTGTGTGGGAAATGTAACAGAGACTGCCATTCGAGGATTGGTCTCACCAGCCACACCAAGAGCTGCAAGCAATAAAGATAATCTATCGTCTCATGCAGACGGAAAGATGCCATACATACTACAACTTAGAGATGTCAATTGCATATGTCACAACTTAGAGGTATCAAGTACAAACAATTTTACATAGATGAGAACATATGCAGTCTGAGAGTTTTAAGAGAACAATTTAAGGGGGAAAAAAATCATTTTAATTTTAAAATTATTATTCTATTGTTTTCAAATTTACATTTCTAATAAATGATAAAGTATTATTGATTAAATCAAATGTAATTGGTGGTACTGAAAAATTGAAAAAAAAATGAAAAAAAACATCCACGAAACTCAATGACTTTATCTGGCTTAAACTGCATGGACCAGGAAATTAAACATCAGAACTTTAAATGTCCAAATCTTTAAAACTAATGTTTAAAATTTTTTTCAGCTAAGATTATTCAATAATTGAAGGTAACAGGCAAGCCACTGCCATCAGCCACCATGGTAACATTGCCTGTCTCATGTTTTAGGCGAAGCGGGTTTGAATCTAGTCCTGGGTTACTCCCAGTTATGGGTAAAAGTTTATTGAATAGACACATCAGCCATAAAAGAAATTAAAGACATCAGCCATGAAAGACATCTCAAATAGAAAAAAAGGTATTTATCAAGTTTTATATTTGTTTAAAAAAAAATTTGAACTGAATAATCATAAACTAAAAATAAAAAAATAACCTATTGTAGTCAATGCATAAATTGACAGGTAGAGCTACATATTGGTAAAGAAATCGCAATTTTTAAGATAACTACCTTCTGAGCTAACAAGGCCTGGACCACCTGATGGGCTATGTCGTCATGACAGTTCTCACACAGCTGTCTTTGTTGTTCATTCTCCAAGACAAGGGAGCTGTTCTCTGCCTCCACTGTCTTTAATCGCTCCAGTAAAAGTTTAATCTGGTCTCGCACATCTCCATTACCATGGACCTGCCAGATACATCAACAATGATGAGGCCTGTATACTTGCATCATTGAATATTTAGTGAAATATTAATACAAGTGATAAAGTCATAAACACTTTCAGAGAGATATCAACAGTCTGACACCCAACCAATTGTTGAAAAAAAACTGGCTATTTTATGCTGATGTTCCAGTGAACTCATGAGATTTTGTTTAAATTTATTTTTTTAAGAAGGCATTGAAAAATATCTTTACCAACGTTGGACTTATTGTTTATTATATATAATTATATAAAATTATAATATCAAATTAAAATGTATTACATATATGGGATGTGAAATTTGTGTATGTCATCAGACAGAGGTGACTGAGAATTTTTTGTTTTGGGAAAACTTAACAAAAATAGCTAATAAATTTATTTTTTAATAAATATTTGTTGCTTGCTAACCAAATCAATCTCAGAATGCCATCTCACAGGTGCCCCCATCTTCTTTATATGATTGCTCAGAATCATGTTTTCTCTCTCTGTAACCAGGTGATGTGGCTGCAGCACTTTTGAAGGTTCTGTGGTGAGGTAGAAAAGAAAAGCAGTAGGATGAGTTTATGACCAAATTTCCATTGACTAAAAAGCTAGGAACAGCATAAACTAGAGGCAAAAATAATTAATATAATTAAAAAACCTATGATCCAACTCTGGGACTGGGAGGCTTTTAAATAGTAATGTCTATACCACCTAAAGATCCCAAACATTGAGAGAATAGTAATGTCTCTACCACCTAAACCTAAAGATCCCAAACATTGAGAGAATAGTAATGTCTCTACCACCTAAACCTAAAGATCCCAAACATTGAGAGCAACTACAGATTTCCATAAGTTTTATTTATTTCTACATTAGTCATGAACTAACATCTCTGTGGTTTATATTGTGCTACCTGGAAAATATGAATACATTTACTTCACTATTAGTGGCCGGCCTTGTGATCAAAACTTTGAAAGGATTACATTTTTACCAGCAATAAATAAAATGTTATCTTCTTGTTTTATTCAGATGATTCAACACATCAATGGCTGTAATGGGACATTCACAATCACATCAATGGCGGTTATGGGACATTCACAATATCATCAATGGCGGTAATGGGAGTTCACAATCCCATCAATGGCGGTAATGGGACATTGACAATCATATCAATGGCGGTTATGGGATATTCACAATCCCATCAATGGCGGTAATGGGAAATTCACAATCATATCAATGGCGGTAATGGGAAATTCACAATCATATCAATGGCAGTAATGGGACATTGACAATCCCATCAATGGCAGTAATGGGACATTCACATTCATATCAATGGCAGTAATGGGACATTCACATTCATATCAATGGCAGTAAAGGGACATTCACAATCCCATCAATGGCGGTAACGGGACATTCACAATCACATCAATGGCAGTAATGGGACATTCACAATCACATCAATGGCAGTAATGGGACATTCACAATCACATAATTGGCAGTAATGGGACATTCACAATCACATCAATGGCGGTAATGGGAGTTCACAATCCCATCAATGGCGGTAATGGGACATTCACAATCCCATCAATGGCGGTAATGGGACATTCACAATCCCATCAATGCCGGTAATGGGACATTCACAATCATATCAATGGCGGTAATGGGACATTCACAATAATATCAATGGCGGTAATGGGCCATTCACAACTATATCAATGGCAGTAATGGGGCATTCACAACCACATCAATGGCGGTAATGGGACATTCACAACCATATCAATGGCTGTAATGGGACATCATGCGGCCCATATTATTAATAAATATTGAAAGATCATGTAGCCATTAAATTTGCTTGAAATTTTTTAAAGAGCAGTGGGCCAGTGGCTCGTGAGGAGATACTGATCTTCCATCGAGCGCCTCCCCAGGTGGCGGATAGGGGAAAGCCCACCAGATATGGAGGGTACCGGGGAAATAAAATACCCGGGGCGGACCAAAATCAGTACCTACTGCCTTGAAGGAAGTGGAGGTATCCACAAAGGCTAGGGACCCGTCCAATACAAAGGCAGCTACCCTGAGAGCTGCAAGGGGCATCCCCCCAGACGGTTGTGCGCAGGGTTGACGACCCTGTCACGTAAAAAAGCTAATGTTACGAAAGTAAAACCACAATCAGAAAAACGGACTGATATTTATGGATTTCGACCCATGCCTGACCACACACATAACATTTGGATAGCGACTTGGAATGTACTCAGTTTATACAGAGCAGGTGCCTTGGCCCGCCTCAGTGAGGAATTACTTAGATATAGAATAGTGATTGCGGCACTACAGGAGATTAGATGGAAAGACTCAGATATCCTAAATACAAAGGAATATACAATATTCTACAGTGGAAACAACACAAATACATTAGGAACAGGGTCTGCAGTCAAAAGAGAGACAGTAAATGCAGTCATTGGGTTTAAACCAGTGAGTGAAAGATTATGCTCCATAAGGATTAGAGGAAAAGTGTTTAACATCACGTTAATCTGAGCTCATGCTCCAACGGAAGATGCAGATGAAACCATGAAGGAAACTTTCTACGAAACACTGGAAAGAGTATTTGATGAGGCTCCACGACATGATATCAAAATAGTCCTTGGCGATTTCAATGCAAAAATTGGGAAAGAACTAGTCTACAGACCAACAATCGGAAAGGAAAGTATGCATGATGAGAGCAATGACAACGGGACACGTCTTATAGACTTCGCCTCTGGAAAAGGAATGATAATCAGTGGCACAGTATTCCAACATAAACAAATACATAAAGCTACATAGATATCACCAGATGGATTTACCCGTAATCAAATAAACCACGTACTCATCGACCGGAGGCATGGCTCGGACATATCAGATGTGAAAAGTTGTAGAGGGGCGGACACAGACACAGACCACATGCTTGTTAGAATCAAATATAAGCAAAGAATCTGTAACATCCACAATAAACAAAATAAAAGAGAAAAACAGTACAATAGTCAGAAACTGAGTAGGGACCAAAAAATTACTGAGGAATATCAACAGAAGATTGAAACTCAACTAGAATTATCCAAAAGAGAATCAGCCAGCAATGTTGATATAAACCAGCAATGGGAAAAAATGAAGCAAATAGTCACAAGTGTAACAGAGGAAACGATTGGATTTAAACCAGCAGTGAAAAGAACAGGATGGTATGACGCAGAATGCAAAGAACTTATAGAACAAAGAAACAAAGCTCGGCTAATGATGCTGCAAAGGGAAACAAGAAGAACACGACAATTATATAATGAAGCAAGAAGGGTGGCCAGCAAAATTTGCAGAAAGAAAAAACGTGTTTGGGAAAAATCAAAAATAGTAGAGATAGAAGAGTTGGCAAAAGAAAGTGATGTGAGGGGAATGTACCTGAAGATAAAGCAGGAAAAGAATGTCTTTCAAGCAAGATCCCACATGTGTGAAAGCACGGATGGAGAATTGATCACAGAGAGCAGTAGAGTACTAGAGAGATGGGCACAACACTTTGAAGGCCTACTGAATGGCTCAGGTGGAGGAACCAATGAGGATTACGCCCCGCCACAAGGAGGACCGGACCCACTGGTCAACCAACCAACTTTAAATGAAATAAAAGATGTAATCTCCACCATGAAAAATAACAAAGCCCCAGGAATAGACCTTATCCCTGCAAAACTCATAAAGCTAGGTGGTAGCGAACTGCATAGGCAAATACACGAACTTATAACCAGAATCTGGCAGCAGGAAGAAATGCCAACTGAATGGGACACGGCACTCATAATCCCAATCCACAAAAAGGGATCTAAGTTGATATGATCAAACTATAGAGGTCTCTCCCTTCTTAATGTAATGTACAAAATCCTCACAAAACTTATAGCGAGAAAATTGGAAAAGTACAGTGAACAGATCCTAGGGGACTATCAATGTGGATTCAGGCAGAATAGGTCAACCACGGATCATATTTTTACTATAAGATGTCTCCTGGAGAAATGCTACGAATATAACATCGACATACACCAACTATATGTGGATTACAAAACAGCATACGATAGTGTAAACAGGAATTACTTATACAATGCTTTACAAGAACTTGGAGTCCCTAACAAGCTTACCCGGCTCATACACATGACAATGGCCAACTCCAAAAGCAGAATCAAGATTCAGGGAGAATATTCTAGGGAGTTCATAGTTAATCGGGGCCTCAGACAAGGAGACTCACTATCATGTATCCTGTTTAACATCACGCTAGAAAAAGTTATTAGAAGCATTCACATTAGCACCAGTGGAACCATAACAAACTATTTCCAGAGAGATACTACAGAGCAACGACCATCAGGAACCTTATATAGCCAACCATTGCAGTACCTGGCATATGCAGATGATATAGCACTACTGGGTAAAAACCGTAATGACGTAATTAAAGCATTCAGGGAACTTGAAAATGCCTCATTCAAAGCTGGCCTTGATATAAATGAACCGAAGACAAAATATATGATAATGTCAAGAAACTCCCATGCTGATGATAACATCAATATAAACAACCACAAATTTGAGAGAGTGGACACATTCAAATATCTAGGGGCAACTATAAATGAGCACAATGAGATAATGACAGAGGTGAAAGAAAGGATAACAGCAGGCAACCGTTCCTATTTCAGTCTACAAAAGCTACTGAGAAACAAAAACTGATCAAGGGGAACAAAGAAGACAATATACACCACCATCATAAGACCTGTAGTAACGTACGCTAGTGAGACCTGGACCCTCACCAGAAAAGCAGAGAACCTGCTCAACACATGGGAGAGGAAAATCCTGCGCAAAATATACGGACCAGTGTTAGAAAATGATACCTGGAGAATACGTACAAACCAAGAACTTTACGATTTGTACAAAGAACCACCCATAGTCACAATGATAAAAAAAGGCAGAATACGCTGGGCAGGTCATGTTGAAAGGATGCCGGAATGCAGAGCAGCCAAAATCATATACAGGCAGAAGCCTAGGGGCAGACGACTCATCGGTCGCCCAAGGATGAGGTGGATTGATGATGTGGAGACAGATTTACACCAGTTGGGGGTTCGAGCATGGAGGCGGAAAGCCATGGATCGCTCCGAATGGAAGGATGTGGTGGAGCAGGCCAGGGCCCTACATGGGCTGTAGTGCCATTGATGATGATGATGAGTGGGCCAGTGGGGAAGTTTCCCAAGTGTTTGTAAATAAAGCTTTTCAATGTATTCAATATTTATGGGGCACTATTGAATGGAAAAAAATAATAAAAATCTTTTAAAGTTAGGGATCTAGAAAAACTATTGTCTTAGTACCCTTAGAGTGTACATATCAAAGTAAAAATGCCCACTTCAAAAAATTTATTTTTAAATATAATAATATGCATTTTTTAATTTTTATTATGAATATATTTGTCAAAGTTGGCATTTATAAATGTTTCAACTGGTATTTTCATTCCAATGGGTTTTGAGATTGTAAATAACAAATAGCAAAATGAGTAAATCAATTTTAATATAAAAATGTTACGATCGCATCAAAGAAAAAGTATCTGGGATAGTTGCCATGCTTAAATTTTACACAGATTAAACATACAGCATCATTTTTAAAACATGAATTCAATTTGTATGCCAACTTACTTACGTACTTTCTTTGCATGATGAATTTTAACCCCCTTGAGGTGGAGCCTTCTTTAGACTATCGGCTCCAAGAAGTAGAAGATGGAGGGAGCCCTTTTTCACAAGACCTGCACTTACCGGGTACTTTACAAAAAAAGTTACAGCATACAAAATAAATTTTTAAAGTTATAAATAATAAAATAATTACCTTACAAATATAAAACTATACAAGTTCTAGTAGGGAATTGAAAAAAATTATACAAACTTTATAAATCAAACTGAAATCTCAACATTTATGCAAATGAGATAACCTAATTACTTACGAGTACTTCCTTTTAAAAAAAGTCAAACAGAACTTTTTTTTAAAATCGCCAGAATGTCAGGGTGAATGACCAAATGCCATTTGAACTAGAATGAGTATTTCATAAATAAAACTTAGGAACAGCTAGCATTGAAATCTAATAAACAGTCTTTCTGATCTTGCCATTTTGTCACATGAAAGTGACAAGATGAAGATTGCTAACTGTGATGAAGTGATTCGTAGGTTTGCATCTTTGAAGACCACAAAAGTAACATTTTCACTGCTAAGATTACTTTTATTTTCAATAAAAAGTCATTTAATGGATTTTAAAAAAGATTATTTCCAGTACCTAAAACTCTGAGGGGTTTTTTGTTGCTGTAGGACTTAATTTACAAACAATACGATAAGCTATTCTGTATCATCTGGCTAAGAATTACATGGTGCAGGTGGTTAGAGACTACCACGGGTGACAACAAACCTAGTGACAACACCACCACATCTAGTGACAACACCAAACCTAGTGACAACACCAAACCTAGTGACACCTCTAGGCTGAATTCCACCACTTAAACTACAGGGAGCGAAAATAAATAATTTAAAAAGTCAATAAAAACCAAAATGCGAAGCAGAAATATTTTTTTAATGACCAGTGTGAGAGTAGCAGGATGCTAATAATAATGATAGTACAAGTAAAAAAAAATAAAATGTGGACATAACTAATGACTGACAAGAAAAATCTAGAAAAATCAACTCGGAGTCAATATAATTTGGAAACACTTGATATGGTTTCAGCTTTAATTCAAAAACGAAATCATTTTAAATCCATTTCAGATGATTTACTTTTACTGAAATAATCTTCTTTGAGAATTGGTTTTATTATGTGTCCAAGTTTAGTCACAACTTCTGGCTTTGTTAGCAATTTGGTGGCAGACTCGGGGACTAAACCGCGAGACACAGGTTGTCGCAGTGATGATTCATACTGTTGCACCGAAGTGAAGGGAAATGGTACGGCTTTTGGCTGGAAATAAAAGTTATATGAAATAATGGGATGAATAACAGTGTAAAGTAAATCAGGTGAAATTTAATTGTATTTTATCAAAAGATGTCACTGTATTTTTTTTACTACTATTTTATGTAGGCGTTCTAGTGGCAAACTAGTTGCTTTGAAATATTTGAAGATAATTGCTAGCCTTGTATAAACAATGACACAAAAGTATTTGAACATGTGCCAATGCTTCTTCATGAGCTACAGCCTATGATTTCATGCAGCATGTATGTAAAAATAGTAAAATATTTTATATACACATTGATTCTGGGTTAAAAAGTAAAAAAGCATGGTCCGTGAAATGATTTTTTAAAGTTTCAAATTGCTTTAACATAACTACTAGCTGTAATAAAAGATCAGTATGACAAATGAGTTACATTGCGCATGAAATGGACCCAGACCTGTTTACCCTTGAACTTCTAAAATCGTACAATATCATCTCAAAATCATAAAATAAGGTATCTTAATAGTAAATAAATAAGCATGCAGAATATGTAATGTATACGATGGCTATCTCCATCACGTGTCTAATGGGATCGAGTTAAGCTGGTGACAAAAAAAGGGTAACTTCTAAAGTTAGATAACTGATGTTTATAGTGCTACTTTGTTTTACAGATGTGTATCTGCAATAGATATCAATTAATATTTAGGTGAACGTGTAGATCATATTATCCCAATCCCAGTCTGTTTTTGGTACCTTACAAATAAAGTTACTAGTCAAATTTAAGGTGGTTCAAACTTGAAGTCATTTTAGCATAAAATAAAATGTACCGGTATTAAAATAAGAATTAATTAACAAAGCTGGGCGTCATTTTTTAAAAATCCTACCAAGTAACTTGAGACTTATTTTTTAGGAAAAGCAAATTTTAAAAAAAGATTAATAATAATCCATTATGCATGTTTCCCATTAACATATGACAGTCTGATAACCACCACAAGCTGTAAATGGGAGACAGGAAGAGGGGATATTAAAAATCTTAAAACTGTTTAGTGCATAAAAGGGACTCTCGGGTCCTATAAAATATGTCGAAATCTAAGATTGCTGCTCAGAACAGTGAAGAATGCATTCTCTAGTTATCTCTGTTTCTGTTCTCATCCCGGTTCAACCGTAAGAAATAATTGTGTCACAATATTACGTCATACAGCACCTAAGCAAACAAACTCGAGGAGGGGCCATCTGTATGGTAAATATGCAAAAAGGTAAAAAAATTTACACCCTACCCCCATTTGCACTCGTACTGTTTTTTCCCCCAGGGCCCCACCCCATCCAGTTTTTCTATCAGGGTTGCTGTGGTATGCTCACTCTAATGCTCACAGGGTTGTTGCAAAAATAAAACGAAATTTTCATAATTTTATTTCCACTTTTAATCCATGTGACATTTAGTGGTCATAGTGCTAACAGTCACTCACTTGAGTAGCTACGGTTGCCAATTAATAAATGATGCTTAGTGACCTACATAAGTGTTATATTTATTTTTTTAACCAACCCTTTATTTTATTTTGTTCATGTATTCGCTATTTCAAAGTATCCTGTTAGAATTTAACACAGGGAGCAGCGTGAAAACCTGAATTTGGCAAAGGTGCAGAACCACTGGCATTTGCCAACAAATGAAACATCACAAGGTGGACTAAATGTTACTGTACACCTCCACTACTGATTACTAACTTAGTATATCTAGCGAGTTCATTTGTGAAAATACATGGCAACATTATACGAACATTTTTACAAAACAACGGGTGATATTTTTACAGCATTCGAGATATAAATAAGCTATTTTTTTACTTTCAGAGTACCATGATGGATATTATAAAATTTTTGAATGACGTACATACTTTCACCCGAGATACCTCCCCCTCCATATACACGCGTAGGCGAAATAAATATTTGAAAACTCCATTCAAAGCGCAAGGATGGCCCGGATTGACTAAAACTTAAATTGTCACAAGGGCCTCTACTCAAATAATTTTCTAGCTGTGTCTAGCGAGTTTATAATTTAATTTAAACACAAAGCAACAATATGACCATCCCCTCTATCATTATAAATATGTGGCAGTGTTAATTTTATAGACTTCAATATTTAGATCCTGCTCTCACAACACCCGTACACAAAATATCCCAAAATCAACTTCAATCCCCTCTCAGGGCAAACATAATAAAATTACATATGATCCCCAGCGAATCATATTTCTCGATTCATTCACAGCTGGATGTAGAATGCAAATGCAAGTCAAAACTAAAAACCGAAAATGTATTTTTTTTAAATATTTTTTTTTAATGGGGAAAGCTACCGGAATATATATGCATGTCATATTTTCAAACAGGTCTCTTAAGCTCGTAGTCTTATCAGGTCTTGGCATACATTTGTAAAAGACATCTCAAAATGGCACAATGTACGCCAAAATGGTAAGAGTAAACAGGTCTGTAGACTTACAAATGTTCCCTGAACTGATCATTAGGCTGGTTGCCTGTAACCAACATTTTTTCCTTGAACACCAGATGGTGTAAATCAAGTTGTTACAAGTAAAGCAGTCTTTCATTTTACTATCGCCAAGAGGTAATTCAGAAGGAAGGTCATGTACAACATTTCAGCCTGGCTAGGAAGGTCATGTACAACATTTTAGCCATAAGTTTTTAGTGTTAATGTGCACAGTGCACATAAACCATGAGATTTCTTCTACTTCTATTCACCATGTCTCTAAAGTGCATGTCCATCAGAATCTCCAAACAATGTTTTTCAGTGGTTCCTGATTGAACCAGAATTAACATTACTAACATCTGTAATATTTAATTCACAAAATATGAGGAGCTAATGGCGCGGTGCCACAACTTTAACTCAGTTTAATGTCACAAAATATGAGGAGCTAATGGCACGGTGCCACAACTTTAACTCAGTTTAATGTCACAAAATATGAGGAGCTAATGGCACGGTGCCACAACTTTAACTCAGTTTAATGTCACAAAATATGAGGAGCTAATGGCACGGTGCCACAACTTAAACTCAGTTAGAAAAATATTGCCAATTTTTAAAAAATGATATTGAATATATTCACATTTATCGAAAGACGTCTATGATTTTTAAAAGAAATCTTTCAAAAAAGATGTGTCTGCATGTTTTCCACCAGATATTTGCTACAACAAATAACAATTGTTTTCTTTTATTAGACAAAAGAGAGAAGCTAGAGACACGGTGCAGGTGGAGAATTACTTAAGAGAGTTATGGGTAAGTATGTTGTTGGTAAGCAATATATGACCATACTCTCATGGAATTAAGTGTCTTATAGTGCTAGTTACAGCACCCGAGAAGAACCAGGTTGTAAAATCAATATTTAAAATTAACCAGTTCATGTTAATCTGTGAAGCTTCAAGTTCTGTGACAACTAGTCTGTTTTTAGTAACTTTTGGTATGTATCACTAAAATTACTAAAATACCAAAAGCGAACAGAAAATGAATTCAATTTAGGGTTAGGTTCATTTGGGCAAGGAATCATATAGTATTAATTAGGAAATTTTGTGAAATTTTTAAGATGACCTTTAAAGACTGGGTGCAATAGCGCAAAAGTTTTTCTATCCTCAGAGAAAAGATGGAGGGTAATAGGGAAAACTCTAGGTAAACCCCCTCGGAAACACCCCCCAACCCCAGTTTTTTTATATATTAAAAATTGATGTGATTGACATAAAGTCCAGTAATAGACAATTATAAATGCTGATTATTTCTGCCACAATGCCACAGAAGCAGTCTCATAACAGAGAAGAGCAGTCATTACAACATTCCGAGATTTAAAATAAGAGATAAAATATGGCCGCATAAAATTTATTTATTGGAAAAGTTTAATCATGCTTACATCAATCAAACAAGGGGCTACAATGACTACAAAAGTATATTTCAGGGTTTGAAAGGAACAGTGATAATTAGAGCCCAGGACCCACTGTCTTTTAAGTTATGATATAAATCATATAAATGTCAAAACTATTCATTTTTAACATTTCATTTTACTTCATAGTTTGATTTAATGACAAATGAGTCAAGTTTATTTTCAAAAGTACTACTGTTCTTTTTGTTATTCAATAAAAGTTTGGAGGGTTTTTTTCAACTGAAAAGTACAAATGAAATGTTAGTTTTGTAGGGGATTGTGGGGAAACCCTGCCTAAATGAACAAAGTTTCACTAAGAGTGCTCGACTTACAAGTAACTTTTTCATAGCTTCATCTCTGTTAGGATTGATCCAGACAAATGGCGCCTTGGCTGTTTGACTTGGCTTCCGCTGATGTGGAGTTCTTTTACTTTTACTGAATCTAAGTATAATAAAAATTAAGAATTGGTTATAAATATATAAAAACGTTATTGACTAATAGTACTAATAGGCAATTGTTTGAGAAATCTGGAATGGATAATAAGGCCTCATCATTTCCCAAAAATACCTTCTCCTGATGTTCCATCAAACTCCTTTAAATATAGTGCACTGCTTGAGGCTTGTCAATCAACCTCACTAAAATAAAATGTGTCTAATTTTTACATCTTTTCTCACCAGCAGTTGCTATTTTTTTCTTTACTGAGAAGAGAGTTTAATGTTTAGAAAGGCTTTCCAGGTTCATGATAGGTAAATTAAGAAGCTAAATTACTGTCAAACACACAACTGTAGAATCAATTGAAATGTATGTTGAAAGTGATTGATGACTCTATGGTTAAAGATATCTGAGGCAAATGTACAAATGAATACTAGTGGTTGCGAATCTATAGCAAAGCCTTCTCTGACGGCACGTATGAGTTGTTTTTTTTCTTAACTAGAAACTCAGTATGCAGGTTAAACTGCGGTGTAGGCACTTTGCCACAAGTAAGTGGGTTTTGGGTTGCTGTGTGGGCACTCTGTTGTCTCTTTAAGGTTGCCTAATCAGTATACTAGAAGAACATTTATAATTGAAACAAATAGGGACAAAACTTATGAAAAGATACAAATTATTAATTGCTATACCAGCCTTCTTTTATAGTTAGAACAAAAGAACAAACCTTTTTTGCCTATTAGTTGCAGCTTTCTTGTAGTCTGGACCAGCCCAAGTTCCCCAACCTGGTAGTTTGAGGTCAACCTCAAGTTTCTTTCTTCCTTCTATCTCAGCCTTTTCCTTTGTGAACTCTTCAATAACATCTTCATCCTGAAACAACTCTTCCATTGTCAAAGTCTTTTTAGAATCATCTGTCTTTGAATCATGTGAGTAGAGGACAGACTCTGGGACCGGCTTTTCTGGACCAGACGACTGTGGAGTCTTTCCATCAGTATTTGTGGGTTTCCTCTGTTTCTCACGTTTCAACTTTGATTTGTCCATTGAAATAGGGCTTCTCACTTCATCAATCACACTTGGGTCATCAGCATTGCTTTCTTTGTTTTTGTCTTCTAATTTCCTTTTAGACACAGGCTCTGAAATCGTGGATTTTCTTTGCTTTTTTATTTCTGTTATTTCCTGTTCGGATTTATTAACACTATTCACTTTCTTCAAACTGTCAGGCAATCTGCTGGCTTCTTCCGCCAAGGGTGTTGGTATAACAGCCTCGGTGGAAGTTGAAATTGGGTTTAATATTTGTGTGGGTGGCATCTTATTCCCTGCTTTTGATCCTTCTAGCCAGGCATTTGCTTTGTCGCTTATAATTTTTGGATACTTTACATTATGATTTATAATTTCCTGACTAGTTTCACCTGTAACATTGGATATTAGCTTATCAAACTTAGTATTTATATTGTTATCATCATCGTCGTCGTCGTCACTTATATTCTCATCCTTCTTGGTAAGCTCCCTACTTTTTTTAAACATTTCTTGAACAGCTTCTCGTGTCTGAAAATCAGAGGCAAAAATAGCGTACAAATTATGAGACTGTTTTTGAAAGGGATATATATGTGACAAGCTTGGTTAGGCTGAAATAAAATAAACCAAATACAAGTTAAAAATTATGTAAAAACATAACTCAGGAATTTAATTGTAACACACCTAATGAATAATCTGCAAACTTTAAATAAATAAATAGGCTGAGCACTATTCCCTTTGTAAGATAGAGGAAGGAAAGGAAGTGGACAGAAGTTAAAGCGTTGTGAATAACTAAGTGAAATGATATTCAGCTATGGAAAAAAACACATATGGATTTGGATTTACAGCAGTATAGAGCAAAAAATCTTTAGATCAATTTATTCTCGGTATAAATTCTTATCATTGCATTCTTACTGTTATCATAGCATTTTTTTCTAACTTGCAGTTCTGCAATATTTAAGCTTTATAAATCTAACTTGCTAAAGCAATTTTTATGCCAATTTTTAATGGATCTAGGTTTTATAGTACTAGACATAGAAATTGCCAGAAATGGCCAGTCAATGAAATGAGTCAAATAAAACCATACTGGAAACAAAACAAAAGTGCATTGAAGTTGAGCATTGCTGAGGTCAGCAAGTTCCAGAAGAGGTCTTTCAAAATTTTACTTAGATGTGGGGAAAAAAGCAGAGTGCCTAGTTAAGTCACATCTCTGCAACTAAGACAATTAGTTTTTCTAATATATTGAACCCCACCCTTTTTGAAACTTTACTTTATATAAAAATTAAAAATATGATATTACTCCGGGGTGGAACTGTACCAGTCATCACACCCTGGGTTTATTTTACCATCTCACCTTATCATCATATTTGCTATAGGCTTTGTGAAGTCGTGAAAATTTTCCTCCTCCTCTATGTTTGAGGGTCAGACGTTCCTTAAAATAAAACAAAAAATAATATTTGATATAAAATTTCAAAATCGCAAAACAAACTTTCTGACTTAACAAGCCCTTTTCAATCCTCTGCCAACTACAGCTTTTTTGATAAGTTTTGATAACTTGATTCTGTCATACTCTAGCCTGTCCTAGACATATCTATCAAACAAAAACTCAGTATCAATAAAGTTCAAGAATATATAATCAATGTTAACAAATGGCAAGGTCCCAGGATGGCTTTGAATGGTATTTAACAAAAAAAACTTTGACAGATTTTATTTTCTGATAAAAAAACATTTCCACTGTCCAAACAGTGGTGTTCCACTGTCCAAACAGTGGTGTTCCACTGTCCAAACAGTGGTGTTCCACTGTCCAAACAGTGGTGTTACACTGTCCAAACAGTGGTGTTACACTGTCCAAACAGTGGTGTTACACTGTCCAAACAGTGGTGTTACACTGTCCAAACAGTGGTGTTCCACTGTCCAAACAGTGGTGTTACACTGTCCAAACAGTGGTGTTACACTGTCCAAACAGTGGTGTTCCACTGTCCAAACAGTGGTGTTCCACTGTCCAAACAGTGGTGTTCTATCAGGAAGGAATGTGGTCGATACATTTTCGTAACCTTAACCCAAACCAGATCAATGCACAGAACAAATGGCCAGGGCAATTTTACTATTAACATCAAACAAAAGAAATGTGTTGGACTGAGTAGGTATGGAACTTGCGCTATGTCATTTTCTGCTAACTGCAGAGTATTTTTCATGGAAGGAAGGCAGCAGAATTTTCTGTCTGCCATGGACGGCACTAACCCTGGCTCTACATGTTGAGATCCGCTGGTCCTCACCTTTTTGAGACCCGCTGGCTCACACTCTCTCCATCCCTACCTCACGTGATATTGCACAATTAAGCTGGGCCTAACATTACTAACAATGGAAATTAAACTGGTCACCTTGACCCAGCTGAAACAATGAGCTTTCTGAACCAGGCGTACCCACGCTGACGCCACAGATAAGGTATAAAAGGGAGCGCACGACGCTACCCCCTCTCTTTTACCTGTAATTTGGCAGCAGAGCCTGGCTAGCTAGATTATTGTGATGAAGTTTTGTTTATCCAAAATGGGCTGGGTTAGTTGTCTTTAATTTCCATGTGTTTGTAGTTTTGATTAAGAAATGTTAGTATTATTAGTTAGCTTATGATAATGATTAATCGTGTGATGTGATTTGAATGTCTTAGTTACGTCTTATGTGTTGTATTCCTTATTCTCATTTGTAGCCAGTGTAGTAGACAGGCAGTATAGTATACAGTATAGTATAGACGAGTACAGTTGAGTCTAGTCCAGTATAGACCAGTTCAGTTGAGTTGAGTTGGAGTCAGTCAGTTAGTGTCCAGACTAACGCTGACATCCTATTAAAGAATTCAAGTGTAGATTAGGCTTACGGGAGATAACCAATGACTCTCGTCAGCCGCACAGGACGTGTGTGCCCCACCGTTAGTTAGAGTCTACACCCATCGTGTCCCAGACCGCGCAGTCACCAGCGAGAGAGAGAGGCAGACTACTGCTGCTGTGTGCGTAATTTGGGCTTACTTGAGGACGGACAAGATAACCAGCCAGTCATAACTTAGTACATAGCAATTAGTATTAGAGAGTATTATAGTATACCTAGTTGTGCTTTATATGTTTATATTATATGCAATAACATGTGTCTAGTTAATTCTTCTTGTAATTAAATATTTATATTCGTGGGCTGAAGCACCTGTGTTCTTATAGTCATATAGTAATAGTATTAATAGAAGTGTGTGAGTGAGATTGCCGTTGGATGAGAGTGTGGTGATAGTCAGCTTAGAATATTTACTAATAGATTAAATCATACCCATAGTATAGTAGCAGTGCAACTAGCCTCACACTAGTCATAGTATCAGACGAGAAACGAAGATAAACGTCTCTAGCACAGCAGTCCTCTCGACATTGCTCTACTGAGGTGAAACGTGGACAGTCTACCAGCGTCCCGCCAAGAAGCTGAACCATTTTCACACAACCTGCCTCAGTAAACTCCTCAGCATCAGGTGGCAAGACAAAGTTCCTGACACAGAGCTCCTCGCTAGAGCGAACCTACCTAGTATCTTCACCATCTTGATGCAGTCTCAACTCCGTTGGATGGGACACGTAGCACGTATGGGAGACAACCGGCTCCCAAAACAAATTTTCTTTGGAGAACTCATGATAGGCAAGCGCTCCCAAGGAGGCCAAAAAAAGTGTTATAAAGACTCACTGGAAGCGGCACTAAAGGCCTTCAGCGTCAACCCTACTAAATAGGTGCAGACAGCCCAGGACAGAGCCAGTTGGAGAGCAGCTGTCAAGAAAGGGGCTAAATCTCAAGAAGCCAACAGGACACGCAGGCTCTTCCCAAAGAGCAATAGTAGATCACCGACTGCAGCAACTATCCCCTGCCAGAGGTGCCAGATATTTTTCCGAGCAAGGATCGGTCTAGCAAGCCACCTATGAGCTCACCATAACCCACCCTCCCCTCTAACTGGATGACTTGATGGTCCTAGTTGATTTTGACGGACGAATAAGTCATAGTATAGTACTAGTAGTCCTAGTAATCAATTTACGTAACACTGGGGGCCTTAAAATATGTAACACTACACAACAGCTGATTGTTCTGACTTATGGAGCTGTGGAAAAATCCTGTTTCACTTACGAGCAGAGTTTCCCAACCTTTCTTTACTTCGCTCCTCCTATGAAATTGTTTTACCAAGTCTACCATGCCCTATTAGGGTAACAATGCTTTTAAAATGTGAAAATAATGAAATTGCTATTAAATTATTTAATTACAAAGAGAACAGTCAAACATTTAAAGCTAATGCCTACTCTGTTCTTTATAATCCCCTTTTCCCTGAAATTTCACACTGCATTTCCAAGGGGTGCTCCCAGGTTCTTTGGAGTGCTGTGAACCTTAGAAGTATACTTTCAGCTTGCTCCTGTCGACTCTCTCTCTACAAATGACTTAATCCCATCCTAGAAGGTACTCACCTCCATTCTATCTTCATGAATTTTTTTCAACTTCTCATGTAAAGCATCGGGATCATTTTTTTGAAGATATTCCATTTGTCTCTTCTCTGCTGTTAGTCTATCGGCTTTCAGTAGTTTGCGATATCTGTTTAATAAAAATGTCACCCAGCATTGACAAAAATCCAAATCTCTCAACCCCATGATAAATTTATGCAAAAATTACTGATTTATTTTAAACTTAGTAATTTACAGGACTGCAGTAACTTGCTTTAACTTTTAGTCCAGATCCCCAAAATGAACAGAGCAACATCATCGGGGATCCTGCCAGGGGGGGTGAGGAAATCTGAATTATGGTCCTTTCAGTAAAGTGACAGCTCTTATGAATTTACAGATGTGAAAACTGCCATATTTCCTCCCCCCCCCCCCCCAAAAAAAAACCATTTGAGTGGGGATCCTGCCAGGGGGGGTGAGGAAATCTGAATTATGGTCCTTTCAGTAAAGTGACAGCTCTTATGAATTTACAGATGTGAAAACTGCCATATTTCCTCCCCCCCCCCCCAAAAAAAACCATTTGAGAGAGAGGGGGGAGGGAGAGATCACTGAGAGGGTGTTTGTGCGTGGATGGGTGGTTGGGGGAGATGAAAATGGGGTGGTACATTCTTTTTAGGAAACCAATCTCAAAACCTGATGATGTTGCAGATGTAAAAGTTGGTTTATAGACTTTTTCTTTAAAATTAAGAAAAAACGTTCCATTTTCCTGAAAAAGGTGTTTACATAATTCAGGCGTGTGTAAAAAGGTATTTATATAGTTCAGGAGTGTTATCCTAAAAAAGGTATTTATATAGTTCAGGAGTGTTATCCTAAAAAAGGTATTTATATAGTTCAGGAGTGTTATCCTAAAAAAGGTATTTATATAGTTCAGGAGTGTGTAAAAAGGTATTTATATAGTTCAGGAGTGTTATCCTAAAAAAGGTATTTATATAGTTCAGGAGTGTTATCCCAAAAAAGGTATTTATATAGTTCAGGAGTGTGTAAAAGGTATTTATATAGTTCAGACGTGTGTAATCCTAAAAAAGGTATTTATATAGTTCAGGAGTGTGTAAAAAGGTATTTATATAGTTCAGACGTGTGTAATCCTAAAAAAGGTATTTATATAGTTCAGGAGAGTGTAAAAAGGTATTTATATAGTTCAGGAGTGTGTAAAAAGGTATTTATATAGTTCAGGAGTGTGTAAAAAGGTATTTATATAGTTCAGACGTGTGTAATCCTAAAAAAGGTATTTATATAGTTCAGGAGTGTGTAAAAAGGTATTTATATAGTTCAGGAGTGTTATCCTAAAAAAGGTATTTATATAGTTCAGGCGTGTGTAAAAAGGTGTTTATATAGTTCAGGAGTGTTATCCTAAAAAAGGTATTTATATAGTTCAGGAGTGTTATCCTAAAAAAGGTATTTATATAGTTCAGGAGAGTGTAAAAAGGTATTTATATAGTTCAGACGTGTGTAATCCTAAAAAAGGTATTTATATAGTTCAGGAATGTGTAAAAAGGTACAGTTACATATCTTGAGGGGAGGAGGTGTAATGTTTATAACCAATATTGTGTTAGGGGTGGGGTCTAATTTGGGATTTCACCCCAGATAGCAGTTAAGCTTTGACACTGCAAGGTTGGGTAAATTTTATGAGGTTAACAAAATATCAAAATCGGATGTTATGTGTAAATGGTAATTATAGGAAATATAAGTTTTTAAATTTTACCAAAATACAATTAAGAGGTAACATTCCTCAAGGTGAAATAAAGGTCAGTGGGAGACAAAGGGCTTCCTCTGGGTCAAAGGGCTACCTCTGGGCCACCAAATCTCCTAGATTTATAATAATGCAGCAACCATTTCTTGAAAAAATGTCTGGCAAGTAGCGGTGCCGTAGAACAAACAAATGGATGAACATTGCAAAGCTTCATTTTACATTCAACAGGCCCAAAGCACAAGGTCACAGGGTGCACTCATCACCCTTTATGTAAACATAATTGATGAATGCCACACAGTAGGCATAAGGAGTTTCCATCTTTAAAGAGAGCCACAGCAAAAAATCACCATGTGGGTCAATACTTACCGTTTGCTTTTAATTTTCTTTTGACGTTTAGCTTTCTGCTCAATCCTTGAAAGCAGCTCATGATGCTTCATCAACTCACTCCTCCTGGCCCTGGCCTTAAAATAACAAAGATACACAAAATAAACTGTTGTGCAAACTGGGGAAGAAATGATTTGTTTCTTATATTATAATAAAAAAATAAAAAACATAACTCCTCACAAAACTCAAATAGTATTACTGTTCAACATACCCATGAAGACACCCATGATTAATTTTTAAATTAATTTCATGCGCTACATTTGACATGGGTCCAGGAAATTTTTTTGCAAGTAATTTGTGCATAGAAAAATTGTTTTGTTGTTTTTTTTTAATTTTTAAATGTAGTAATTTGGTGAATTTAGTAAAAATTAAAAAATGCAACCACTATAAAGTAAAATTCATGGTAGCAATGCTTCATAAACTTCTAAAAATAGTGGCATCAATTGGATGTTTTGGCAATTCAATTAATTATGTAGGAAAAAACACTTAGTATTCAACTGTTGTAAACCCCCCCAAATAGCCTGCAAGGTCACAGCACTCCTTATAAATTTGGTCTCCTTTCCTGTCAGGGTTGCAGGATAAACCCAAAATACAAATATTAAGAAAAATCAAAATTAGAATTAGCACTAACACATCCATAGAGACACTTAGCTGTGAATGGTTTCTCACCATGTTGACAGCTAAATAGAACTGACACATAAAGATTGCACTAAATACTCGTACATAGTATATTTGAAGGCCTCTGCATCGGTTACTTAGACAATTTTTTCGCCAGGTAGCTGTAATGTCTACAAAGCCTTAAGTGTAAATCATTTGTGGAGGGTTTGAACATCTTATAATAGAAAGAAACAAGTTCTTTATATACAAAAAAAAAAAACTTTCTATCAAAGACAAGAATAAACATCTAAAAAAGTAGAAAATAAGTTATAATTTCTTAAAATGCATTACGTAAAGAAAGACTGCACATAAGTGTAGATAAACACTCTATGTAGCCCAAGGATTCAAAAAGAATGCATACAAATGAAAATTAAATTTTTTTAAATTAATTTTTGAAAATATTTTCTTACCCCATGGATTTGCTAGTAGCAGAAAGAAAGGCCTTTTTAAAAGTATTTTTTAATTTTTATTTGCTCCTTTTAAACCGGTATTGAAATTTTAATCTCTATATTATTGACAGACGAAGTATTATTTTCTTTTTTGTTTATAAAATCCCCAGTCTTACATCCTTTATACAAACTTCCAATCCCACCCTTTTCCATGTGTTCACTGAACGAAGCAGACGCGATGTACACACAGCTTAGATGAGACCCTTTGGGTGTGCATGAGACAGAGAAGCTACTGAGTGACATAGTCACATGGTAAACAAAATAATCCACATGGATTTGCAAGTAAAAAGAAAGTCTTCAATTTAACTTAGAAATTGTTACACAGATTGCTAAGATTTATTTATGTACAATTTTTAAAATATTTTTTTTTTTTTTCTTCTAAAGATTTATGACAATCTACATGAAGAAGAGATGTATTTAAATTGTATACCTAAGAGTTAATATACAATTATTTTAAAACTTTGACTATTTGGCTACATTAATTAATATGCACAAGTTTCATGGAAGCAACTCAAATAATTTTTAAGATGTTATGAACATTGAATTATGTGCAATAAATGACATTTTTCTGTAATCCTGCATTTTCCAGAAACTCCATAAGATCTAAACATATTTAAAATTATTTTTTTATATGGCCTTATGACTTTTTATAGCAATCATTACACTGCAGGCCATATGCTTTTTGTGTTTCTTATGAAAACTGTGATGTAAGTTGGTGAGATATCACATTTTTTATACTTATGAAATCGACATAATTACAAAAATAATGAAAAATATAAAACTTTCAAAATAGATCAATATCTTGAGAACTTAATTTCTGGTTAAATTTTAAGATAGTGTTCAAAATTGGAAATTTAAAATTACACCATAAGCAGCAGGGTTAAATAACAGTAAAATGGTGAGAAAAAGCTTCAACACGTGTATCCCAGCAAGGGGAGCATTCAGTTTACAGGTCGACATTTTCAAGATATGGATGTAACTCTGCCTAAATAATAACATAAAGTAAATGGGGAATCAGTGTGTGTGGCCATTCCCATATAGAGCATACATGGCCTTTACCTCTTTTATTGACATAGCTTTCAAAGCTCGTGCTTCTGCTTCGGTGAATTCTTGATGAGGCTTCAATGTATCTTGACTTTTACCCAACGCAGCATATATCTCCTGTTCCAAGGGTGTCCTGGGCTGAAAAAATTTGAGCAAATAAATTTTTCTTTTCAGTGGAGCAAACTAAGGGTCTTAAAATTTACGCCTTTCATTGTTGACGTTTATAAAATGGTGATTCATAGTTCAAAATGATACTAGAAAAAGACCAACAACCTTAGACATACATATAGTGTACGAATTTAATATAGGTAATTTGCATTTCTGACCAAGTGGTGTTAAAGTATGTAAACTATGTCTTGGAAGTGGGTAGCATAACTCTTGATGGTGTATTTGTCTAAGAAATCAGTGCTAAGATGGATTAATTTGACATGCCTTCATGCTTGCTTTTTTTGTCCAATATGTAGATGTTCATTGAATCAATCTTATTATCTTCTTTCGGGTCTCACATATTTCTAATAATTGTTTACAAATAAAATATTTTTAATCTTTTAAATAAATTATTGACTTTTTTTTTATTTTGTTCTGGAGCATTCAAGTGCCACCCATGAGTTTATGTAAGTAAATACCCCCTCAACAAACAAAACAAAAACAAAAATCAAGCACAAAAAATCAATTTATCGAGACAATTATGAGTCACCATAAAATAAATCTGTCATAGGTTTTCACAGCAGTTTGGCAAGTCCAGTGGTTCCCAAAATATCTGCCATGTCACCTGGAGGGACAGGGCATTCCTTGGGCAATGCAAAAAGGGCAACCCTTTATTTAATAAAATTTTCATAGCTATCCTGAAGAAGTGCATTTGTTAGAATCTGAAATAGTGTGCCTGGTGAAAACCTAAATTGGCAAGGGTGCCAAAAATCAAAACAATTCTAGGAACCACTGACATAGCCCAACAAAATTACCTTAATAAGTCACCCACTTGAAACATCTTTACTTACAACAAAGGCCTGAGGCTGGACGGCTTGAAACATCTGGATTCCATGTTGTCTTTTTGAATATGCAATTTGATCAGCCTAAAATTTAATTTAAAACCTATCAGCATATTACATACCATTAAACTTTTAAGCACCTGTAGATGCAATCACCTTTCTTATAAACAAACCTTTCATCACTTACTAAGCACATATTACCCCTTTCCTTAGTTTAAACAGTCTTTAAAACCACTGTAAGGTAAAGTAAATAAAAAGGCCTACCGATCTCATTTCTTTAACAACAGGATCCCATTTGGTCATTTCAGTAACCAAAGCTTCTCTTGTTAGTTTGCGCTTCGTCTAAAAAATGAAAATACATTTTAACACTGATTATGTAAACAGGTAAAAGTTCAACATAGACACCTATTTAGCATCAAAACATTTTTACAAAACAAGAGTTGAAAGCATTAAATTTCTTTAGCATCTCTAAATTACTACTTATCCCTTATAGTTCATCCCAAATGCAGCCACATCATTTTATCTATAAAAAGAAGAATTGGATTCATTAAAATAAAAATCCAGTTACCCTGAATTTCACCCACAAGTATATTTCTGAACAGGTTACATAAAAGCCAAGAACTTGTCCTACCTTTTCTAATTCTAGAGTGCCCAGTGGCTTTTTTAAGTGAAAGGAAGCATTTTTACGTTTCAGCTTAAGGTCACCGGGCTGAATTTTGGCAGTATCTGAAAGTGAATTAAAAGACCACTCAAAAATTGTAGGCACCAACAAAAACTGAGTCACAATAAATAGATAGCAACACAAAATTGGGTATATCATCCCCAACTTAGGACATCTAACAACACAACTTAGGACATCTAACAACACATTATGAAACCACAGAACATTTAAGGATACCATTAAAAAACTTAATAACAGGTAACTTAACTGGTTAACAACTAACAATACCTTGACTTGCATGTACCACAAGATCCAAGTTGCTTGAGAAATTTGTAGAGCGTCGTAAGGCAACATTGTGTCTGTAAAAAGCATTAACTCAACAATTATCATTATAAATACATAATAGTTAACGATTGAAAAAATTATTATAGTATTATAGATACATTAACTGAACATTGGAAACATATATAATAATAAATACTCCTGTTGTTTTTCAGACCATGATATATTTTTTAGAAAGAGTTGTGTTTTAATCAAATATGATTGCTTTCGCTCAAACTAGTGAGACCAACCTGTTTTTCTACTAAATATACTACCATAGATACTCAATCTAAAGCCTGTTTGCTGATGTGCAGATCCCCTTTGGTTTGCTTGGGAAAAGCCTAAAAAGTGTTTCAAAATGTATAACCAAAACAAACTCCTAATATTCCATTGCAAGCAATATTTTCCTTAAGAATATCAAGGTTGAAATTATGCAGGACACATCACAGAGTAGTTCCGGTATCTACTTCCGACATTTTTAATAAATAGTTGAACAGAATATGTTTTGATATCTTTTTTTAATGTTATTGTCATGTGGTAAAAAATGTTGAAAGCGTGTGAATTAAAAATTGATGTGGAAATAAAAAATTTTAAATATGACATTAAAACCTTATTTTGTTTTGAGGAAATTAAATTAAATAAATAATTAAGGTAAGAGCTGATGTTTATTAATATTTTAAGTTTCCGGTAACACATTAGAATTTTGCTATACAGTAGACTAGGACTTCCACAATCTACAATAAAAGTTTCATTTTTTAATTACCTGGAGAAAATTACAAAAATCTCCTACGACCTGACCCCACTTAAATGCTGACATTTCCAAAAAATATGTAAGTCAAATTTAGATAGAGGATGTAAAGTAATAAGTTTGCTTATCAAAATCTTTAAACAATTGGAATTAATGGCTCAAGTAATTATCCTCAACTTGAAAAGTCAAACTATATTGTGCAATAGATAACGTAAATATCCAGGGCATGAAAGTGAAAGGTCTAGCTAGCACACAGACCTGGTTACAATTTTGACCTACAATGTTTGATTTTGAGATGTCTTTTTACAATTGTAAGGCAAATAATGCTCATCACATCTACAATTTTAAGAGACCAGAGTTGAAAAATATATACATGCTGTTTTCAGGGGCAAAGGAAATCTATTTTTAGAAGTAGCTTTAATACCCCAGTTTGGTTTCAGCAATCCCCTTCCCCTCTACCAATACATTTGAAATAAATACATGGTATGCATCACTTTGATGTATCGGTACTGACTGCTTTATGTTGGACTGATTTAAAAAAAAAGATTGAAATAAGTAATCCAAAATCTTAAATAAAATAAAATAAAAATTTTTTTACTACTTTAGTAAGTACTAAAATTAAAGGATTTGTAACAGTTTATATTAATGCAACAAGGTAAAGGGAACCTAAGTTTCCACAAGAATTTCTTCCGTTATTCTCTGATTATTAAGCACAGAATGATAAATGAATTAAATTCAGGCTTATGCTAGAATTTAATCACTGTATTTTTAACTTATAAAAAAATTTCTCCTGTCAATACCTCCCCCCCCCCCCCCTTTGTTCTGGTAAGTTGAGCAGCATCCCATCTTCATCTATCAAAGTGGCATTGACTGGCACCTTTTTATTTGCAATAGAGCACTACATATAATCAATTTAAATACATAAACCTCAGTTATCTACTTTTGGAAAATCCCCTTTTATACATAAAATGCAATCAGTTATTGTATACATCATAATTCATATTTATTTATTTATTTGCTATTACGATAAGGTATTGTACAATTTTGAGATGGTTAAGTACCATTCAGAAAATATTTTGCACTACTTTTGGAGTTCCATTGTAACCAGGCTTGAGCACATGATGCCACAAACTACAAATACAAATTAATAGTAACATTTATCCTTAATAGGGAATTTTTGGAGAAGACATATATTATTTTATTGTATATTTATTTTAATATTCTGTTGAGCAATAGAAAAGTACTAAGTTTTAAAAAATTCGAGAACCCCTTAACCCTAATAAAATAACTAATAAGTTTTAAAATATAAGTCATTCTGTACAGTTTTACGTTTAATTTTACTTTCAGATGCTATCCACATGGATAATCATGGAACACGGACCTGAAAACATGTTAATACCTTTTCTTCCCATCTAAAGCAAACAAAGAGTCAAGGAGTCTTTCATGGGCCCTTTCATCCACAGCCTCTTCAACAATATTCTGAAAAATAAACAAATATTTGTTGGATATAATTTATTCCTTCATTAAGGAAAAAACACTGACGTACAAAATTAAAAACGTGGATTCTCCTGCGCCGAAGCCTATTTCCCATAAAAAAAATTAGTAGTCTCCCTTGCTTTACTGAAGTGGCTACCCAAAGTGATGTCTTGAGGCTTATAGGGTGAGATAATTCTTGGCAAAACAAACTGCATGGCCATATAGTTGAACCAAGTACCTCTGTTTTACCATTCAAATAGAGGTCCGCTGGGACAATGTGTGCAACATGTGGTTCTTAAGGCGAATTCTGAAGATCAGCAACTTTAGTTTCACAGTGTGAAAGAAAAAAACCTACAAAGCCTTTGCCCAGCTGCTTCTGGATTATGCATCTTCAGTCACCCAGAAGAGCATCAACAGGTTGGAGGCGGTCCAATGACTGGCAGCGCGCTTTGTTCTGAGCTGCTTCAGGAGCATCTCTAGTGTTGGCAGCATGCTGGAAACACTGGGCTGGTCACCAAACTCAATCAAGGACTGGAACATGCTTCCAAAAAAGGAACAATAGAGGTGACAACAATTTGACACATTGTGTCTATTGCCTCAGGCCTTACAAATCCCAGTTCCTGAGTAGCCCTTGTCCAGCACAGACAGGCACAGAAAAATTGCAAATCCCTCTACGATTACATTACATAAATAGTTTAGGAGCCGGAGCCGAAATTCTTCTTCTTCTTCATGTCCCTTAGTCCTTGGACCGTTGGGGCGCCACAGATGACATGTGAACCATCCTCCTCCATTCCTCTCTGTCTTCAGCACTAAGCACTGCATCGCCCAGTGTTAGTCCTGTCCGCTCTTTGATGTTATCATCCCATCTTTTTCTTTGTCTTCCTCTTCTTCTCCCTCCTCTTGTGGTGCCCTGCAATATTTCTTTGGCAAGCCCTTGTTACGTGTTCGTACCATTGTAGTTTGCGTTTTTTCACAGCCACCAGTAGGTCATCATACTCCCCAATTGCCTGATGATCCCTTTCTTTCACTGTATCATTGGAGTTATGGTCCCTATAGCAGATGCCAAAAATGCGGAGATATCATTGGCGGAAGACGCTGTTACTTAGGAAATATTTAATTATTTCCACTATTTACATCAAAATATTTGATAACTTATGTTTTAGAATGAATTTAAATGTTATTGAAATAATAATATTTAAATTTGAGGTTAAAAACCCGACAGAGTCCATATTATAAATGATCATAATTTGCTGTGTGCAAAATGTCATGGCAGCCATTCAGTGACTTGCATAATGGCTATACCATACTACTATCTCAGAGTTTTCATTCATAAAAGTTCGCCTTGTGCAAAAACTATTAAACAAGGTCAGGGAAATTTAATTAATTAGTCATGTGCCAAAGTTGAAAGTTCAAAATAATTAGTTCCCAAACAGTATTTTAGTAATTAGGGCATGAGTTGCCTTATATAGGCTATATAGCATATATGGGTATAATGAGCGTTGTAGATTTGGTAAACAGAAAAGCCATATATTAATACATTATATTAAATTTACTGATATAAATAGTGCATAGTTAAATAAGCTAAAATTTATCAATAATTGTTAACATTATTAAAAAAATTTTTTAATACAGCATTAGTTCTGAAAAAAAATTATCATTAAAACAAGAGTTATATAGCTTGTGACGCAAACAGCGGAATTGGATCACAGAATGTGGAGATGCAGTCCATGTCCATGTTAAAAAAGGACAAATGAATTCGTACTTTATAAATTCATAACTTTAAAACTACAACAGCTAAAAATATGATTTATGTGTTAAAATTATTTTAAAAATTAGCTCAATTCAACTATGCCATTGGTTTATTTTTACAAAAAGTTTTAATTTTTTTATCAAATATAAGGCATCCTTCTGTCTTCATTAGATGATGGAGTAGCTATGTAGTCCTACACTTCCACGAGTGGCTCACTTAAGCCAGTCCTAGAATGACGATCTCGACCGCATCTTATCATTTATCAAAGTACCTACACTAATACTAATACTACATTGATCGTGGGCCCTTAAAATAATAATAATATATAGAATAAGAAAACCCATGCCCAGACTGCTAACCAAAAATTTACCCAATTTATAACAAACAATAACAAACATCCAACACTACTTTTTAATTTTAAGTTAAATTTAAAGTCATGCTTTTTTATGATGAAATCTAGCTTGAAAACAAAATTATGATTAGGGTGACCAAATCATGAACTGGAAAAAATGGGACACACCCAAGGAGGATAAGGGGGGGGGGGGGAATATCCTCTAGCTAAAGAAGGGTCCAGGGGCCTCCGCCGGAAACTGTTTATTGAAATATGCTCATTTTAACTATTTTGGGACATAGAAATCTTTTTAAATCATGAACTGGAAAAAATGGGACACACCCAAGGAGGATAAGGGGGGGGGGGGGAATATCCTCTAGCTAAAGAAGGGTCCAGGGGCCCCCGCCGGAAACTGTTTATTGAAATATGCTCATTTTAACTATTTTGAGACCTAGAAATCTTTTTAAAATGACCTTCACTGTTGTAATTTAATTTAAACTCTGAGGCATGTCATAAACGAAAACAATAATTTGTCATTGAATAGTGAATACTTATTTATTTATACATTTACATATTTTACAACATAATACAACACAACAAATTAAATGCAGCCATCGCGCAAGTCCACATCACTACTGACTACTGGCTACACAGTACAGTACAGTTAACACAGCTAGCCAAAATTTTACTTAAAGTTATAATATAAATTATGAAGTTTTAGTGATTTGAGCGGTCGGGCAAAGACCGAGCTCTGCAAGGTCTTTGCTCAGCACTACTTGCTCGAGTGGTGTTACAAGGGATTTTGCCTCTTCGTGGCGTGACGACTAGTAGGATGGGGGGGGGTTCCCTTCTGAAGCTAAATAATCCCAGTCAAAAGCATGACTTCCTACGCAACGGAAGTTGAGCGCTAATATGATTACAGTTGCCGTTGATGGGTATGAGACAATGGGGGGCCGCCCAAACCCTTGTCAATGATTAAAAAGACACGGCCCTGAGAAAGCCGCCCCTAGGTGACCGTTTCGTCCCCGCTACGTCCCGACCGGACAGCTCCCTGGGCGGTGGGGAGTGGTAACGCAACACCACCTCTCCGGAGACTAAGTAAAGCCATCCTGACCCATAGGAGAGTGGACTACGGACCCTTTAAACGCAGCGCCCTCGGTCCGCCGGACGTCCCTCAGGCCAGGAGGGAAGTTCCTGGCGTGCTTCCGCACGTCTGGGGCTTCTGCCCTGGCCCGTTTGGGGGCGTGCCAGGGGGGTATTATGAGTGTAAACTCGATGACCCACCGACACCATCTCCAAAGTGATGTTATTAGTGATTTGAAAATGTGTTTTGTTTTTGAAACGGGACATTTAGGCGTCCCGAGAGACTTTTTCGGGACACCGGGTACGATCGTGAAAAATCCCTTTTTTACTGGACGTTTGGTTCACCATAGCCCTAACCTAGACTTAACTAACTTAGTACTTAGACTACAACTACAGTTACAGTGTAGACCACAGAGTAAAGAGTGCAAAATGTCTTGTAATGTTTACCCAAATTAAATTTCAAATGTTTGATGCGGAATCAGGTCACAGAATGTGAACCTGAGGTCCATGGTAAAAAAAAAAGGACAAAATAACTCGCAGTTTAAATATTCATCGCTTAACAATTACCTCCAATTCCATGCTTTCACTTAATTATTTAATAAGGTGAGTTAGCCCAGTTTCCTTAGAACTTTGTCACAACTCCTCACTTGTTTTCACTACCGAACTGAAGAGTCGAGCGTGAACAATATGGCGCCAGAGCTGCCACTAAAATTTGTACCAATTCCCCAGGTTCGGTATAAACAATTCCCCAGAATTTCCCAAATTATGCAAATATGATAAAAACATATTATGTTTAAGTAACTTTAAGTCCAGGTTTGTAAAAAAAAAGGACGCGAAAATAACTCGGGGCGCCCACATCACATATTTTTGCAAAAATTTTGTTTAAAATCGGTTGTTGTTTTTTTAATGGAAGTTGTAGGTTACAGATAATTTGTGATTTGTAACTTCAGCATTTCAGCGTGTTCATTTTAAAAAAAAATGATTAATTAGGCCTTTAACTTTAACATTAATTTAATTAACCCACTTTCCTTTTTTTTTTCTTTTTTTTTTTTTTTTTTTTTCACTGGGCTTTAAAAAATCTTTCAATTTTTTTTTTTTTTTATCTTTAAATTTTTTTGGTTACTGCGGATATTCCAATCAGTGAAAAAATGATTGGAACAGGCCTAAGCTTAAATTTAGGCCTTTAACTTTAACATTAATTTAATTAACCCACTTTCCTTTTTTTTTTCTTTTTTTTTTTTTTTTTTTTGCACTGGGCTTTAAAAAATCTTTCAATTTATCATTTATTTGATCTTTAAATTTTTTTGGTGACTGCGGATATCCCAATCAGTGAAAAAATGATTGGAACAGGCCTAAGCTTAAATTGTATAAGGATTATTTAACATCTTAAATAAGTATTTAAGTTATTTTCTTGTCAATTGGATGCAAAGTAACACAAATGTTAGATTTAGAAAAATGACATTGATAATAGTATCTCAAAATGTATAAAATAAGGTGGGCTAAGCGTTGTGTACATTTTAACACCACATTGATAATATCTCAAAATGCAGGAAATCGGGTGGGGTCAGCGTTGTGTACATATTAACACCATAAGCTCTTTTCTTCTTCTTCTATATATTAAGGCCAACGATCAATATATTGATCATTCTGGCTCCTACGCATGTGGAGGGATCTGCAATGTTTCTTTGCCTGGTATTGTAAACCAACTCTCTTGGTAAACATTATAGAGCATAGGTCAGGGGGGGGGGGGGGGGGGTCACATTTACCACCCCTGGAAAATAATACATCAATTATTATTGCAAAAATATTCGCACCTTATAATATAAACATTTATATCAGCATTTGCATTAGAGGCCGGCCGAGTTTCGGCTTCGGTTTCGGCGCCGAAAGTTGCAATTTGATCAATTTTGGCCTTGTTTCGGTTTCTTGACAAAAAAAATTGATAGTGGAGTTGTTGATGACCTGGTTCAGATTAGAGTGAAGTGTGAAGGCTGGCCACAAAGAGCTGGAGGCATTGGCAGATGTCCCTTGGAAATGCTCGTTATACTTTTCACAGGATCCAACATCAACTGAAAGTCGTGATATGTCAGGAAGTAACAAATTATTAATCCAGTCAACAACTCTGTAGGATTCTCAATATTAGCCGATGAAACAGCTGATATATCAAGAAACGAACAATTAGAGTTGACGCTACGTTTTGTAGACAACGTAGAGAGTCAATTTAATTTCTGTGAAGAATGGATTTGATTCTAACCATTGGAGCCACTGGCGGCATGTGCACATGCAGATGCTATTATGAATCACTGCCATGAATGTGGTCTGAACAAGACACATTACTGGGCTGTCCACGGCACCATGAATGTGGTCTGAATAAGACACATTACTGGGACAAGGATAGGGCGGCTGTCCACGGCAATTTTTTTAATGTCAACAGTCAAAATAACATTTATCTTTTAATTTTCTAATTTCAAACTTTCTATTAAAATTGATTAGAAAAATATATAATATAATTCAGACCGCCCCTTAGGTAGTCCCAGCGACCCCCAAATCTACTACAGCCCCATTGGGCGCGAGACCGCCCAGCTTGAGATCCTATGGCCTACACTAATCACTTTTACGAGTAAATTTGACATCGCAGTGTATTTTCTTATTTCTCAGACACATTCAAATTATGATTAATCTTATTAAACCAAATTCATTTTTCTCTATATTTTTATATAAATAAATTATATGCAACCGCATCGTGACTTATTCCAAATTCAAAGCCTGTCTGAACAGACGAGACGCTGACCACTTGGATATGCTACATTAAGATATGTCTGTGCGATTTGAGCATCCGTTAAGAGTTAATTCAGCTTTAAAATGATCAGATGCTCGTACCAAGAAACGTTCAAATCGCTATCCCGCACTGTGGGAAAACGTTCAAAACTTCTTGTTGCCTTTCCATTATTGTATTTGGTGGAATCTGGGTTTTAATCCTTTTATCGTCTATGTTCAACTTTGCTCCTGGCAAAGAAATAAGCTTGAGGTTGCTGAATGAGGAGGACGTAAGAGTCCTTCCTGTTTGGTTACGTTCAACCAGAGTAAAAACTGGTAACACCTCACCAAGTCGATCCAACGTATTAAGAGCATTTGAACAGTGAGAAAAAAAGTTAGTTACTGATATTAAATGTCGTGTAATGCTTTGATTTATAATTGACCTCCTTAAATAAATGTTAAACGTTTTTCATTTAATGGTGTTTTATAATCTTTAGTTAAGACTTGTGCAAAAATATCTTCCTGAAAAGTAATATTAAAGGGGTAAGATAGGGAGGGGAGTGGTAAGGGTGTGCTTTTGGCCAAAAGGGGGCGGAGGACAAAAAATGGAACGTTTAGAAAATTATTTTCTACTTTTTAGTGCGTTTAAACAAGTCTTCGAAAATAAGTGGGGGTTTTTAAAAACTTTTTAGGATGAAAATTTTAATCTGTAAATTGTAAATTATCTACAAAAAAAATATTTTTTTTTTAAATTGCTTTTTTTTTTAATAACGAATGTTTACAAAATCCTTGGTGTAATGACTTAGCTCTTCACCAGGCATACAACTAAAAAGTAGAATTTAACGACTGCCTGCCGTCTTAAACACCCAACAATAATATTTTAAATTTTTAATCACAACCTCTCACTTCTGATACCCGGGTGCGAATAGAAGCAGCCCTAAATAAATATATAACAGTATAGGCCCTACTTAACAATTTTAATTGTGTGTTCGAGTTCAAACTAAGAAGTACAATAGTTAGTACTTTACGGTACGTTAGCTTTGTCATTTTTGTTTAAAATTTCATTTTATTTATATATTTTTAAATAATTGTATTTATGTATTTTGATTGGTGTTGGTGATTTGACTGCAAGAGGCCTCAAAATTTAAATAGCCCATAAAAGCCTATAGTTATCTAAATCTGGCGTTGCTCATTGAGTACTTAATATATGGCTGGCCCATAGGCCACAGCGGGTTTTAATGAATACAACTATAATGACACTATGTTTTACCGATTAGCAAATATTGTTTATTAAAATTTAGTTATTTGAAAAATTTAATTATATTTAAATTTAGATATATATTTTAAATATTTTTTTTTCCGGACGCTAAATAATGCGATCATAAATGATCATTTCAAGAGAATGAATGAATGGGAAAAAAAATCTGGGTGCTGATATGTTATTTAGTGCTGCTATTCCCAAGTTTAAACCATCGAAAATGTTGGGTAAAACTGAAAAGACATTTGTAACTACAGAATAAGCTGCACAGCAAACATAAATAACTAAAATTTCCGAAATTTAAATGTACAAAAGTTGTTGTTTTTTTTCACTTGAAATTAATTTATAATATGAATCAATTTATTGCGGATTTATTAACTAAGGCTAGATCAGATAATAAACATTAAACAACCTTTAAAAACAAGGTTTTTATTATAATTCCTTTCTATGCAATTTTGTTTGCATTTATGTCATTGCTCGTGATTTTTCATTTCTTAAGAAGCATTGATTATGTCGGTTGATTAAAATGTCAGTTGATTAACCTCTGGTGTAAACAGTTTTATATTTCTTTCATTTCCCCTTCTAAAAAAAAAAAACACATTTTATTTTTACTGCATACCCAAATACGCCTAGATAGAAAGCACATAGCAATGGCTACACAATAAGACGCCACACCAAACACGCAACCGTTGAAGAAATCATTAACACTCCTCGCTCCCTTGAAAACAGGAAAAGTTTATTCCTGCGAGACGAGGGGCTAAAAAATTTGACAGAATGTGTTGTCTTTGGCAACGAGTTTATGTGCCAAGTTTCAGCTCGATAGGTTGGCAGGAAGTGGGTTAATTAGCTGTCCAAATATTTTTAGAATCAGAAACACATGAACAAAAGCGAAATTAATATAAAGGATTTTTTTTTTTTATTGTTTATGCATTTTATCAATGAAAAATAAGGATATAGACAGGCAGTGGCGCACCGTGAATTTTTAAAAGGTGGCAGGAAGGTAAATTACTAAATGTTCAAAAACTATCATTCTTTTTAAGCACGTTATGAAAACTATATAGGACAGTCCTTTGTGAGGATAGGAAAACGATTGCAATAATTATAACATTGTGAGACTTGTCATACTGCCCATTCGACGAGACGCCAGTTAAATAGTTAAGAGCAACCACCGTTAACTAACATGAATTGATTGACTGCACGCGGCCACCTGGTGAGGAATATGTATTTTGTTTAGGGTAGGCGCCATCTGGTAGATAAATTATACCCTTTTATTGACATTCAGTCAAGATAAATAACGCAACTCCGGGTTTCCCAAACTCACCGTTGTTTTTTTTTTTTTTTTTCAGAATAATATCTATTAATAATAAACTCTCTCTCTCTCCCACTCTCTCTTTACATACCTGGTATATATACTGTCTAAGCTAAATTTAGGATGTATAGTTTTATTGTTTTTATTTGTAGCTTTTGTAGTTTTTAATAGCTTATTCCTTTATTTTCATTTACCTGTATGGGTTTTTATATTGGTCGTATCATATTTGTTTTTATCAAACAACCAGAAATAACCCACCAAACCATGGCGACAGTGCGTGAACGTCCCATCTACTAAAGTTACTTGAAAAAGCGTGCATCCAAGTAATGCATCATAAGAATCCCAAGTAATGTGCTCAAGTCTGGGAATTTTATTTTTTGCGT